AATATTTAATATAGAAAGGGGGTCCTAAAAGTTGGGGATGGGGGTTAAAATCAAGTTTCTCCCCAAATTCTGCATCAAAACACATGTGATTCTATGGGAAATTCTGTAACACTTTTTCTTCATTACAATATTCTGGTATGTTCACCATATATGAACAATTGATTGTCAAATACGCGATTAATTATTATGACCGAGAAATTTATATTTGTTAGGTTAATTATCTTATATATAAGGATGTATAATAAAATTAATTATAAGATAATAAAAGTGCAAAATTTTTCAACAAAACTTTATGTTATTGAGAATAAATCGACTTTATTTCATACAAAAGGAACCGGTTTATGATTAATTCATTGAATAACATAATAATCTTACAGAAAACATCTAACAATAATCTAAAGATTAACTAACAATAAATATATGATAGTAACTAAACATTAAGTGAATAATAAGTTTTATGATGAATGGTCAATGATGAAATATTCACTGATTTAAAAAGTTGTTTAATCAATCGTAAATATATTCAAATAAATTTTTTTTTAGTAAAATATTTAGCATAAATATGGTGTATGCTGTACAATATTGATCACATTGAGTACAATGGGGTTTATATGACGCAAACATACTAATTATAATGATTTTCAATGAATAACATACAGTATTAGAATAATATACTAAATGAGATTACATTTATATTAGTTAAACTAAGTCAAATGATTAACTATTAAATCAATACTTCATAAAATTATCATCATTTATGTTTATACTATATGTGTTAATAGTTCTTAGTGATATTATATTTGACATTTTGATAATCTAAATTAACATTTTAAAATAATTAAATATTTTGTACAGATCAAATATTTTATTTGGAAATTTTTCAAATTATTCAGAATTAAAAACAAAATCATTTGAGTGCATAATTAATCGCATTGAGTACAATAAGTTTATATGATACAAACAAAATAATTATAGCAACATTCTATAAATATGATTAATTATTATTGATTAATTAATTAATAAACTAACACTTTTAATGTAAAACTAAATATGTCCCTACTAATAACCATATTAATCAAGCAAATTAAATTTTTGTTTTCAAAATAAGTATTAAAAGTACATTTATTATTTCACAATATAACAGAAACTAAATAATAAATACAAAACATTATAATCAATGGTACAATTAAACATAGATATAATATTAATAATTATTGAAATTAAAATTACCAACAGGCTTATTCATGGACGAGGGTGCTTTGTTAAAAAACTTATTAACATGAGTAACATCATTTTTAACAAAAACATTAAAAACATTTTGAATCTTATTACTATCATTATACTTATAACGATTATAAGTATTCGCAACAAACTCTAACACAGTATTAGTGAATATAATTATAGAAAACCCAAACCATAGGCTCATTATACTGGCCAATAGGCACAGGTACTCCTCGACCTCCATTTTCAGTGATATCTCAAACACCAGGGTAGGTTCAGTAGTCATAAATATATTCATGGTAACATTGTTACCACTACTCGGGGTACATTTCTCCTCCAGTTTGTAATACTCTTTATAACAGTCAATATACTGATCCCATACCGGTTTGCACATAGCGTGGTACTGACTAACCTTGGTATTACTCTCACCCAAAAACAATTTATTATCATTTTTATCGTCGACCAAGATTTTCCAGCCATGTCTACCGGTATCCCTCATAATATGCCGGTCCATACACCCAAATATCCAGTCCTCCTGAGTTGTATCAGTGAAACATTTCTTACCGCTCGGTAGGTAATGGTTTTTCACCACAACCTTATGGTAACCGATATCGCAGTCACCCCTAAACGCTTGCAAAGCGTAGTAATTGACCGGGCTCCTTTTGAATTGAAGTTTTACCCACTGTTTGCTACTCTGTATATACGGGTGCGATAGTTGTAGGTTTATGGTGAACACCCTGAACAGGTATATCGTATCAGGTTCGTGATTTAATTGCGCAAACAACGTTACACAATATTGGTTGAGGTTTATGGACTCCCTATAAGGGGATACCGTATGACAAGGTCCAGGGGTTTTGAAATCACCAGGGCGTAGTCTCTGGGTACGACATGTAAATATTGTGTCCAGGGGCATTAGTGATCTGAATTGGTCTTGTATCGACATATTATTCATGATACTTAATATTTTACCAAATTCTGCTTGATTATTTGGGATTATGCCATGCTTTGCGACAAACTCTTTGCTCACTACGTATACTTTATCCATGCAAATGACCATGGATGGCAATGAAAAGCCACCATTTTCTATTTCGTATTTGACATTGGTGGTCGTTTCGTAGGAAAAGTATAATTTACTTATCTTGTAGGTTTGATAAATACAACCCATTATACAAAATATGGACCATAAAATAAAATAGATACTACGAAGTGTACTTGTATTTGGCATTTTAAAAATTTTGAAAATAAATTTAACTCATAAAAACACAATATAAACTTAGTTTATTCACGATATTTAGTGCATTGGGGTCTATTATATGCAATACACAATAATTATCACGGTAGTCAATAAATCAATATTGAATTACTGTATTGTACTTTTATGGGTAATTAGCATTTGCAGTAATTATTTATATCTGCTAGTCACAACAACTTATATTACTAGTATTATACTGTACTAGTAATTATCACAAACAAAACAAATTATAATCGTATTAATAAAATTATACATATATAAACATGTTAATTTGATCTATTATAATCTATTATAATTAATTATGTTTGAAATATTTTCAATAAACAGAACAATTACAAAAAGATCTGCTTTCAAATTAATTTTACAAGTAAATAATTAGTGTCATGGTAATTAATGTACATTAGTAGCTATGAATAAACTATTGATTTTGTAATTATATTCTTATAATAAATCTTTTTTTTATAAACTAGATTTTTATTTTATAAACTACAATTATTAAATCTAATAAACATATTTATTCATATAATTGTATTGAGATATACAATAATAAGGTAATTATAAATCAAAATTTTTATAATAAACTGTCATTTATTTTATGATACACAGTTGTGTCAATCAAGTATATTAATTCTTAAACATTTATATGATTGATTGACTTGTTTATTTTTTGTATTTTCAAATAAATATGATTTTTAGTGTAATAGCATAATATTTTGTTGTAATTTGTAAAACTAATATTGTAATTATCAAATTTATATTTTCAGTTAAAGTTCTGTAAGTCAGATACAAATTAAATAATTTTATAAAATAAATTAATTATTTAATGTAAATATCATATACGGTATGTAGCATTATCGCATATATAATTTGCTAAAAAATAATAATAAAATCAATCAATAAAAATAGTGCAATTATAATGTAACATAAAATTAGTAGCATTTTTATCATTTGAGATAAACATTTGAAATAAAACATTTTTACTTATAAATTACAAGTACATGTACTTATCAATCATTAAATAATTAGCCATAACAATTAACACCCATTTCCATAGTTACAAAATACAAGTCACACAAAAAACATGTCGTTATACTCATTAAATAAAACTAAATGTTTGCTTAATTGATTGTGAATTAAACATATATTTAGTCGCATATGTATTTTAAGGTATATGTGCTCAAATACTATACAATAAAATGATATTTTTTGTGAATTCAAATAGTATTTTATTTAAAATAAAATAAAATGCAAAATATGTGCAGAATATGTGTTGTTTGTGGTGATGAGGCGACAGGTAAGTCATAATTGTGTTACAAAATATTAATATACTATTCACTATTTAATAATAATAATGATTATCTCAATGTAGGATTTAATTTCAACGCTTTAACGTGTGAATCGTGTAAATGTTTTTTCAGGAGAAATGTATACAAGGTACTGTATTATAAAATATGTCTTAAGTTTTACTTGTTAAAATAAATAATTAATTTCTAACTCTGTAAAGTGTACCTTTTATAAATAGGAGTTTCATTGCAAACTGGAAACTAATAATTGTATTATTGATAAAAATAACAGAATATTCTGCAAGAAATGTAGACTTCGTAAATGCCTGGAAAAAGGCATGACCAAGGTAAGAATAAGATATATTAAAATAAATCATTTTAGTTGTTAAAATGTGAAAATACAAAAATGCTCTAAATACAATTAATAAATAATTACTTTGAGTACATGCACTTAATGAAAGTACAAATCTAGTGCAATATTTCAAAACAATGTAATTAAATATAATGTACTATTATTGTTTCAGGAACATTTAATGGATGATAAAGCAAGGTTAAAACGGATTGCTTTTATAAGACACAATAAACAACATAACATACATCATAAACAAATTAAAAATGTTTGTCCAGCAAACACATCCAGCACAATAAACTACCAGAATAATCACCTTGGTAATTGCCAGTCATCACACGAAGCTTATGTAAAGGCTATTGACTATGTGATGGACATGACATGCATTGATCGTCCCATTAGTGACTATAACACGACTTTCAATGAATTAGAGGGCAATCGGTTCACAGAACTACTGAATGCCGGCAAATGTTTCGCTAATAATTTGCCACAAAATATAACACATGTTATGAATGTGGAGACATTTTTCCGCATAATTGACATTCAGATTAAAAACGATATTATAAACACAACTAAACTATGTAAAAGTCTTATAGGCTTTAATGACTTCTTATATGACCATGATAAAATTATATTGCTTAAGTGGGCATCAATTAGCGTTGCCAAACCTCCTCCACTCTGGAGGATTCGCCTCCAATTGGCCCAAAGGGGAACAGTCCTCCAGAAGGGTTGTGGAGGATAATGTAATGTCCTCCACAAGAATTTACTTGAGTTTTTAAAAACTTTATTTATAATCCTAGATATAATGCTTCCTTTAACACATATTTTAGAAATAATCCATTA